CCCCTCCCCTCCTACAGTAGCCACTGGGAGCACTTGAACTTTGGGGAGGAGGGGAGGGAACAGCCACCTACCTCACCAAGACACAGCTCCTTCTTGATCAGCTCCTTCAGTTCCCTCCGACTCAGGGTCAGTTTGCTGCCCTCTCTCCCTGAATATTTGTGGAAAGTGGTGACCATAGTGGTCAGGGCCTTCTCAAGAGGGGTCTCCATGATGGTGTGCAACTCTGGAGACAGAAGAGAGGAGCGAGATCGCAAGTCAGACCTTCTGCTGCCCCCTATCAGTAGCCCAGTTCCCAGACCTCCCTCAAGAACCAGAGACTGGATTCCATGATGAGACCAAAATCCACCAACAGATGGATCCAAATGTGTCAAGACAGGTTCTAGTGAGACCCAAAGCTCACTTGGAACAGCCAAAGTGGGGAGACTGACCAGCCTCCAAAGGAGACTGCACACTGACCTGCTTGGGGGATGTTGAAAAGGGGTTCTAGAGGCAAAGGGATGACAAGGTGACCTCCCCAGAAGAAGTGGTGAGAGATGATGGAGCAGATAAGGGGTCAGGATTTTCTCCCTGCCCCATCCAGCCTGAGCATTCATTTTCAGAGATAATCCTCACCCAGTCCCCCTCCTTTGCCTGGCTGCCTGAATCTCTGGATATTGGGAAGTGTGCCATTATGGGAGTGGGGAACCAGACAATGAGAGAGTCCAGGGGTTGGAGGGGGCTAGGGCTGGAACTGGGCGACAGGCCTCAACAGGAAATGGAACAGAGGTGATTAGACTTGTCCAGCTGGTCTCCAGCCTCTGGCCCAGTGACTGCACATGCAGACTGACCACAAGGCAGTGAGGGGGATGGGCTTATTAAAATCTCCAGGATCGCCCAGCAGGTGTGGCTCAGTTATTGAGCATCAAACTATGAACCAGGAGGTCATGGTTCAATTCTGGTCCGGCACATGCCCAAGTTGCGGGCTGGGTCCCCAGTGTGGGGTGTGCAGGAGGCAGCCTATGGATGACTCTCTCTCATCGTTGATGTTTCTATCTCTCCCTCTCCCTTCCTCTCTGAAACCAATAAAAATATTTTTAAAAAATAAATAATAAAATATCCAGGATCATTCTGAGAGCTAGGTCCAGAGGTGGCATTGGATGGGGCCCTCTGGCCACCAGCACAGTGGCATCCACCCAAGGAAAGGGGCAGCTGGGGTTCCCGTGACTCAGACTTGAAAACCACTTCCCCTTTCAAGAGGAAAGAGGCAACACCCAAGGAACTCGGAGGCTGCAGGTGAATCTGTGCAGATACAGAGCAAGCAGGACAAAGCTGCTGGCTCTTACCTTTAGCCCCAAACCACCCAGCGATTCTTGAACTGGGCCTGTCAGTCACCTCCCACCTCCCCAAAATCCTCAGCTTCTCCCCACCTCCAGGAGACTCAGCCAGGATGGCAGTGGAGACAAGGGCCTCTGGACAATGGCAGCAACATCCTACCTGGTTCCATCCCCACCTCCACCCCCGGAGCCTCTTCTCAGGGAATGCTGAAAGCTGCCCTGAACACATGCCCCCTCATTGGGCCTGGCCTTCCTTGGTGGAGGTCACCACGGCTTGTCACTCTCTGGCCTCATTGCCTCACCACATAGATGACCAGGGAGATCAGAAGGAAGGACTCACCGAGGAAGCAGCAATCCAGAAAACCCACACGGCAGAAGCAGACTCCCTCCCACTGCTCTCTGCCTTTATTCCCTCTCTCCAGTCCCCAGGAAATCAGGGGAGGGACAGGGCCAATGAGAAGGGGCCAGGGACATGAGGAGCCCCAGGTCAGAGCCTCCTGGGACAGGCCTGGGAGAAATTCCCTCTGCCAATCTCACCTTCCTATTTCCAAACAGAGGGGATGCGACAGGCTCACCGAGCCCACGGAGGCATGCACATCTTCAGCCCCAGAAACTTGGTTTTCCCAACCAAAACCCAGAATTCTAGTGGGTCAACAGGGCAGAAGAGAAGCCAGGCTGTCCTAGAAAGAAGACCCAAGAGGTGTGGGCTAAACGCAGGGTATCTCCCAAGCCCAGGCCACTGTCCACTTGGGCCCTCCCACCCCCACCAAGAGCATATGGATATGGGAACTAGTGGAGGAAGATGTTTCTTGCCAAAAGCATGATCCAGGTCCCTAGCTACTATGGAGCCTGAGGTTTTTGAAGGGCTTTCAAATGAATGTTTTCTTCTAACCCTCACTCAACTTCATAGGGAAAGAATTGTCAGAGACTCTTGGAATAGACTGAGAATCAGGGATTGGGGAGGGGACCCAGGGAAGGGTAGGGCCTGGTGATCAGGCAGAGGTTTCAATGGTGGGGAGCAGGTTCCAGGTGCAATAATGAATCGGGTAGGGGGTCAGGGAGAGTGGCCTTGATTTTCTACCATCAGCAGTCCAAGTCTGAGAACAGAACCAAGTTAGGGGCTTAGTACCTATGGTTGATGCAGCCCCACCCTAACTTGCCTGGCTCCTCCCTGCTGGCCCCACTCCACCCCACCCACCCCACCCACCCCACCCCTAGCTGGCAAGGCTAGAGAGGCAGTAGGGACTGGTTGCCTAGCAACAGGAGTTTCCGAAGTGGAGAGTGAAGCAGAAGGAGGTTGGGGAGGCAGGCACCCCGCAGGATGATGGGCGGACTTGAGCAGGGCAGAGAGAGAAGGAGGAAGAGGCAAATTTTTTTGTGGACCAAAGTTCTACCAAAGTCTCTATAGTCACCCTCTGAGGGAATGTCTGAGTCATCTACCCCATTCTTCTGAAACTTGAGAGAAAAACACAATGTGCTGAGAAGAAAAGGGGAAAGCTTGAAAGATCAAGAGACCAAACCCTCCCTACTTCTGGACCTGCCCTCTACTCAGCTGTTTCTTTCTTCTTTTTCTTTTTTTTTTAACTCAGCTGTTTCTTAAAGGTCCCCATCCCACCCAGGTGTGACCTGGAAAGCTAAACTCAGTCCCACCCACTGGAGGCTATAGCCACGGGCCTTTACCCTAAGGAAAAGCAACACCATGCCTGATATTGTAAACCTCAATTTTATTTATCAGATCATATGTCTGGAATTTCGTCTTCAAAATTATGGTCACTTCCCCCTGTCTCCCTTGCTCCCACTCCAGCCACTGTCCTCCACACATCCCTTCTGAAGTCCTTTGTCCTTCTCTGAAGGAACATGATTCCTATTAATAACGGATCTCATGTTATTAGGGGCTGAAGATGTGCATGCCACCGTGGGCTCGGTGAGCCTGTCGCGTCCCCTTTGTTTGGAAATAGAAAGGTGAGATTGGCAGAGGGAATTTCTCCCAGGCCTGTCCCAGGAGGCTCTGACCTGGGGCTCCTCATGTCCCTGAAACCAATAAAAATATTTTTTAAAAATAAATAATAAAATATCCAGGATCATTCTGAGAGCTAGGTCCAGAGGTTGCATTGGATGGGGCCCTCTAGGCCACCAGCACAGTGGCATCCACCCAAGGAAAGGGGCAGCTGGAGTTCCTGTGACTCAGACTTGAAAACCACTTCCCCTTTCAAGAGGAAAGAGGCAACAGGTGAATCTGTGCAGAGTACAGAGCAAGCAGGAAGAAGCTGCTGGGCCTTTGGGACAGAGACAGAGGTTAGAAAAGAATAATATTTTCAGGCTGTTGCCCACGGCCTGGCTTCCCTCCACACTGCCTCTCTGATCTGACCATGTCCAGGAAGGACTCATCCATCCCTAATGGTTTGGGCCATGTGCGAGAAGGAAGTGGCAGGACAGGGCCTGGGCTGTAAGTATTGTCAGGACTCAGCCCTTCTCCACATCCCCCACCAGCCTCCTCCACTGGCCTCCCCATGACTCAGCCCATTCCCCCACCATCCCTTGCCCCCCCTCCCCCCCCCCCGCCCCCACCATCCCCGGCACACAAATTCCATTCCAGACACCAACCAGGAGCAGATGTGACCTTCAACCCAACCCAGCCTCAGTTAGAGGTCCTGACAGAGACACTGTTGGAGAGACGGGAGGGGTGAGTGCCCTAGCTAAGATCCCACAGTTGAGACATTCTAAGCCTCTGGGGGCCCCTTTATCTGCCTTTGGTCCCATCAGAGTCAATTCTGTCTCACACACACACACACACACACACACACACACACAGTCACACCAAATCCCTCCCTCACCTCCCTCACCTCCATTAGTCTTCCCTCCATAAAATGGCAGCTCAACTCCCAGTGCTCCCCACCCCCCATGTCCCTCCATATTCCTCAGCCCCCACCCCATGCCCCCAGCATCTTTCAGAACATCAGCCTCATAGTTTCCAATAATCTTTATTGAATTTGCTCAGCGTCCTACACATGTCTGGAGGAGCCAGGGTGAGGCTTTGTGCCCACGGCCCACAGGGAAGACCCTAGCAGGCAGGCCCCCACCGCATCTGAGGAGCCCTCATTTCTTCCGTGGTTGCTTGTCGGGGAAGCCCTCGAAAAAGTCGTTGCACATCATGGCGATGCAGGCGAGGAAGACAGAGTACTCCTGGAAGTCCACCTCGTTGTCCTTGTTGTTGTCCAAATTACTCATCAGCTTCTGCAATGCTGCTTCATCTGTCTTTTTCTGCAGGGGGAAGAGGCTACAGGTAGACACCAGCGGTCCAGGGGACAGAGCCATGACTAGACCAGGTTTCCACCTGCAGGTGGGGCTTAGGAGGGCACAACCACTCCTGGGGGCCAGCTTTGGAACTCCAACCCTCATGGCTACGCTCGGCTGGGGGGTGGGTTACCAGCAGGTGAGGAAAGCTGAGTGCCAGGATGCAACTGGAAAAGAGGACCATGTCTTCCCCTAAGGACTTTTTAAGAACCAAGTAGACAATGGTCATGAACGCAATAGATAAACTGCATCAAGTTTGATACGGATGGGAGCTGTGACTGATCAGGGGAAATAGGTGTGTCAGTGTCTCCATAACTGTGTCTTCACATCTAAAAGCCTAATAGAAACTCAGAAATTGTTTGTTTGTTTGTTTGTTTGTTTTTCTTGGGGGTTTTTTGGTGCACTAGAAGTACTGCAATACCGGGTCAACGCATGGAGTGCACGGAACAAGCTCCTATTCCAACTCCTTGCTCCAAAAATCCATTTAATATATTGTCCTCGGATAGAGGACGTATCAGGTATTAAACTGATAAGAACAGATACTACACTTGATCTTAGTCAAAAGGCCGAGAAGCAACCAAAAATTGTTTTTTTACTGGAGTGATGGTGGGCCGTCCTGGTCCATCGATCTCAGCTTTGCACACTGACTACCTGGGGAGTTCCTTAGCCTCTCTGAGTGTTTTAGTTGCCTCACTTCAATTAAGTTGCGTAAAGCCCCTGGCCAGTTGCCTGGCCCGTAACCTACCTGCTCATTCTCAGCCACCTTTGTGCTGGGCGCGGATGTGAATGGTGAGTGCTCACTCTAATTCCAACACAGGCAACCAGAGTGAGCTTCCCCAACCGGTAACAGATGCCAGTGCGGAGCCACTGCTCTGCAGAAAGACTGGTGCCTCCCAGGGCCCTAATCCCTCCCCTGTGGGGAACGCCCCAGAGGGGGACTCATTCCCAGGCAGTAGTCACTCACCCCCAAGAAGCTGGGTAGCTCCCGGGTCAGCAGCTCCTTTAGCTCAGACTTGTTGAGCTTGAACTTGTCACCCTCCTTGCCGGAGTACTTGTGGAAGGTGGACACCATCGCATCCAGGGCCTTTTCCAGGGGGGAAGTCATGGTGGCGGTCGAGATCTAGGGGCGGGGGTCACAGAGGCACCCTTATTTTCCCCATCCTTCCCCAGCCATGTGATTAGAATGCCCCACCCCACTCCCATCAACTCAAGGAGCACTGGGTGACATTCTGCGCCCACCACGCCCACCACGCCCTCCACGAGGGAAGCCCAGAAAGGTGGGGCTCAGCTCCTGGTGCCGAGGGTGTGCACAGTGGGAAATGTGAGCTTGGGCGGCAATCACTTGCAGGGCCCACTGCGCAGACTCTGAACTTTAGGCAGCAAGCTCCCAGGGCCTCACTGCGTCCATTCCGTCCCACAGCTCAGCCCACAGCAGCCCGCCCAGCTCATTCTTCTCCCGCCCTGTGTTGGGCGAGGCTGCTGGCGGCCTGCCCAGGAGCCTGTAGCGGAAAACACCAGCGGTCTAGCACAGGGAGGGGCCGAGTGAAGTGGCAGAGGCAGGGATGCAGGAGAGGCCAAGCTCCCTTGGGCTGGGCTGCTGGGTGCTGGGCAGAGGCTCAGGGACACTGCCAGACAAAAGCCCACGGTTGCCTTTTGCCTTCACTTTGCTTCCCACACCAGAGCATGCACACACAGGCTTGTGCCAGCCAGCAAACATAAGCCAATGTGCACACCCACAGGTCACACGCACACCAAGCATACCACAGCAATAAAACATACTGTCTCTCCAACCCGGCCACCTTTCCCTTTGTTTTCCTTCTCTTGCACATGCACAGGCGCGCACACACGCATCCCACCCCGGAGCCTCCACGTTGGAATCTCATCTATGCACCCATTTAGCACATCTGGGCCCCAGCAGCCTCCCTGGTTCCTGCCCCGAGCCTCAGCCTGACATCCCTTGCATGCCAGTCAGGTAACCACAACTCACCAGTTGAAGAGAGGGGAAGCACTGAAGAGAGAAGTTTGGGGAGACAGGAAGAGTGGGGAAAGCCCAGCGGTCTGACCTATTTATACCCCGGCCAGGCCCTGCCCATGCAGGATAGGGGAGAGAGGGAGTCAGCCCTCCTGCCTGGGCCAATGTGGTGTGAGCCAGGGCCCCCTCCAATAGCCCAGCCTGGAAACACCACTCCCTGCCCTGAAGAGCCAAAGATAGACAATGCGAGAGCCTCGTGAGCACAGGCAAGGGACCTCAGTGAGGTGGGTACCCCCCAGTGTACACGGCCTGAGTGTTAGGGAGCTGGAGGAAGGGGCAGTCTATGTCTGGGGCATGGGGGACAGGGAGCAGGTGGTCCCATCCAGCAGCTAGGAAAGGGGATACAGGTGTGGTGGGTGGTGGCTGGGAAATTGCCCTGAATATGTGACTGCCCAGGAACTCATGGAGGGGACCCCAGGCTCAGAGCTTGGGACAGCTCACTCTGTCTTTCTCCCCTCCCCAAAGGACTCTCTGCCAAGCTGAGTGAGACCCCGGGCAGGACCTAGAGGTCTGGGAGAAGGGACAGGCTAACACCCAAAGGAGGCGCTGGGACCCCCCAAGCTTCTCCGTGGAGAAGTGTCCTGGGTGAGGTAGTGATGGACTAGGGAGTGGGCGTCAGGCCTGGGAGTTCAGGGACGGACTGAAGGCACCAGAGCAGGTGGGGCGGGGAGGGCCTCAGGAGGAGAGTTTGGAGTTGGGTGGGCATCAGGAATGAAGAATGGGGTGGAAAATAAGAGGTGAAATGGCACAAATGGATGGAGTGAAGGATCACGGTTAGCCCCTCCGAGTGAGGTATGAATTCAGGGATTAAGTGAGGGTCACTAGTGGGGGGTTAAGACCCTCAGGTGGCTGTGGCTTCAGGGATGGGGTCTGCCTCAAGGTCCCCCTTCCCCTCCAATGCAAGGAAGCCCTCCCTGGCTTGGACAACACCCTAATTGGACCTCTGGCACCCTAATCCTATTAGTGCTGCTCTCTGGGCTCCCACAGCCCCAGGCAGGGAACAAACCAGCCCCACCCCCCAGCCCCACCCTCTCTCAGAACATCCTGTCCCGAGGACTGAGATCCATCGGGACTTCAGCTGCCCTCTCGCCCTCTTCAATAGCCCAAGAGGGAGAGAGACCCCCCCTCCCCAGCCTCCCTGAACATCATCCTTGTGTAGATCCCCACCCCCTCCTGCTGGACGGTGGAGACCATTTTGTTTCTGCAGGGTCTGAAACTGCCCTCGGCCTCCTGTTCAATGGAAAAAGCCAGAGAGGAGCAAAGACGTCAATGGATTCTGCCCTAAGGCCCTCGCCGTCCTCTTAAAAGAACCAAACCAAGCCAAGCGACACCAGTTCTTTATTAGGAGTTAAGCAGGCCTGTTCCTGTTGTGGTTTCATTCATGCACACTCTGCCGGGCCTGGGCAGCCTCAGAGCAGATCCCCACCTCCACCCATCTGGGGCCTCTGTGGGGAGGCAGCGGATGGCTGCTCTTGCATCCACCCGCTGTGGTCCTGGGAACAGGTCCCTTCATGTGCCCCCCACCGTGAGCAAAATGGGTTAAGCTATCAGGGGCAACGCTAGGGGTCTCCTGATGGAGAGGGTGCAGAGGAGAGGGGAGGAGTGTGTGGGGGTCATGCCCAGGGCCACCTCAGCGCAGAGATGGAGCAGATCAGAGCAGACCTGTGGGGGCAGCGCTGGAGCCGAGGCTACTGGGAGCAGGGGGGCTCCGGGGGACAATCCTTGAAGTAGTCATGGCAGTAGGTGCAGAGGCAGGCAAGGGAGCGCACATACTCCACAAAGTCCACCTCGCAATCCTTGTTGGTGTCCAGAAGACTCATGAACTTATTGTAGTCACACTCCCGCAACTCCGTCTGTGGGGGCAATGGGTGGGGTTGATAGGGGCAGGTCAAGAGGGCAAAACACCTTACACACACACACTGCTTCCCTCCCCCAACTCTTGGAGGATCCCATTCCAACCCACAGCCCTTCTGAGAGCCGATCTCAGCCCACCTGCCCTGATAACTCACCATCCCAATGCCCCTCCCAAATCCTCCTCCTCAGCCATTTACTGAGCCCCCGCTAGTGCTGCTGGGGGCCTCTGTGTGTTAGGCATTCTTCACAGTGCTCACCCCATCCTCCCAGCAGCAGGTGTGATGAGGAAACAGATTCCTGTCATGTCAGTTCCCTCCCCAGCACCCCATCCCTAGCATCCCCTCCCCCGGTCTAGCCTCCCCGCCCTCTTGCTGTCCGATGCTCAGAGCTTGTCCAGGCGGTGCTTCCCCGAAGCGCTCACCGGCAACCAGGTGGGCAGCTCCTTCTGCAGCAGCTCCTTGAGCTCTGCCTGGCAGAGCTTGTGCTTGTCCCCGCAGCGCCCCGCATATTCCTGGAAGGTGCACACGATGGCAGCCACCGCCTGCTCCAGAGGCCGAGCCATCCTCACTGTCACAGAAGAAGCAGAGGCCTACGTCACCCCCTGCACTCGCCCTCCAGGCTTCCATGACTGCTTCCAGACCTGTCTTCATCTCCGCCAGGTTTCTCGCCCCACAAGCCCTCCTTCTCTAAGCAGCCCTCCTGACCACACCAGTGCCACCTACTGTGTGCCCCCAACAGAGGTCTCATTTCTCCAACATCTCATCAAACCCCACAGGAACTCCCTACGGACTTCCTGATTCTCTTCAACTATTCGCCTCCTGGACACCCAGGAAGGACTCATCCCACTTGGCTCCACCCGAGGACATACAGCCCTTGGCCCTGGAAGCCTCCTCCCCTTCAAGACCCCAGAGCTTCCGTGGAAACTTGCTCAAAGAGACCTTGCCCATGTTCCCTGTCCTCTGGCCCTTGGAGAAGCTGGGCGTTCTTAGGAAGAGTCAAGTCTGAGAGGGACCCCCATCGCCTCACCATCCCTCTCCATCCCTCCTCCCCTGACTCAGGGAGGCTGCATCCAAAGGAAATGCTTCTGGGATTCTCTCTGCCTCTCACCCTGGATGAGCCATTTACCTGTTTGGATCTCAGTTGCCTAATCTGTAAAGTGGGGTCAATCTTACTCACAGGCCTGAACAGGAAGCCGGCTCAGGTGTTTACCTATCTTTAATCTTCCCCATCTGAGGCCATCCCCCTGGCTCGTAGGGGTCTTGAGACAGAAGGCTCTGCATAGGGGTACCTTGTTCTGTTAAAAGGGAAGCCCTAGCCGGTTTGGCTCAGTGGATAGAGCATCGACCTATGGACAGAAGGGGCCCGGGTAAAGGGCACATGCCTGGGTGGTGGGCTCAATCCCCAGTGTGGGGCATGCAGGAGGCAGCCAATCAATGATTATCTCTCATCATTAATGTTTCTCCCTCCCTCTCCCTTCCTTTCTCTGAGATAGATGATAGATGATAGATAGATAGATAGATAGATAGATAGATAGATAGATAGATAAATTTTTTTAAAGGAAAGCCCTTCCTGGAATTCCCCCCGCCTGCCACCTCCCCCCCCACTCCCCCCCGCCCCCCGCCCCGCAATTCCACTGGCCCCTTTCACTGCCCTCTGGGGTGCACTTCCAGCCTGGTGAAACCATAAGGCAGCCAGGAAGGCAAGTGTTGTTTTCATGTGAGCCCAATGACTCACCCCTGGTTCCCCTGGGGGACAGGAGTCTTGCAACACTAAAGAGCCAGTGCCAAGCCTCTCCCCCTAATGACTCCCCCTCTGCTGGGCCCTATGGTGCCAATGGCCAGCACATGATGTGTGGCTGTGGGGGAGGGGGAGGAAGGGGGTGATGGGGCTATGCACCCCCAAAGGTCCGACTCTTTGAGACAGCCCAGGATTGGAGTGACTGGGTTCCCAGGAGAGGAAAAGGCTATGGTCCCAGGGAAAAGGGAACCTCAGGGGTGCTGGGCTGCCCTTCTGGGCTTCAGCCAGCCTGCCTGGCGCCAACCCTGTTTTTCCAGAAGCTTGGTGCCTGGAAACTGGAGGGAATCCTCTCTTCCCCACGCAGCCTGGCCTGTCTCAACCCATTGGTAGGAAAGAAGGCAGGAGGAGGGAGCTCACTGAGGGTAGCACCGTGCTTTTAGCTGAATGTCCCCACCCCAAGGCCAGACCTCAGCTCTGCACACCCCCTGACCCAAACTTCCCAACAGCCCTTCCCTGTACAGGGAAACCCCGAGTCCACTAACCCTGACTTCCCGCACCTCATAAGACCCTGCTCTGGTTATCCTGCCAGCCCCAATCCAAGACCCTGCGCCAGAAGACAGACCCTGAGCTACCCCACACCCAATGCAGAGCAGGACTCAGCTGGCACTTACCGCTGGTGCTGGTGTTTCCACTGTAGGCGCCTATAGGCAGCAGACCCCTATTTGTAGTCTGCCAAGGAAGGAAGCAATTATAGGGGAGCCCAACTGGGTCAAGCTGAGGGTGCCCTTGGGGGCTCCCCTGCCTCCTTCCCTAGCAGCCCCTATTACAAGCCCATCCACCCACCTATCCATGCACACATCAAAGGCCCCATCTGGGCCTCAGACACCACCCACCTTCATTCCCCCTCTGCCCTACCCCAGAGCTGGGAACTGGGGACAGCCTCCAGCCCATCTCCTGTTGTTGGAGGAGACAGGCTGGGTTTGTCCAGCACATCCATCCCCTATTCTTCACTCTGAACGGGCACCACAGAATACAAAGTGGGAAGACACTCCAACCTGGAGTAAGTTTGTATCCCCAGGGGACCCCTGTGCCAGAGGAGATCTCGGAGCATCTCGCCTTCATTTATAGGTGAGAAAATGAAGGTATGGGACACCCCTCCCCCCCACCCCCCCTGTCTCTCCTCCCCCGCCCCCCCCAACCCCGATCTCCAGATTGTTTTGAGTTTGGAAAGAACATCTGTAGGATGTGTCAGGGAGGAAAATTACTTATTTTACCCTTCTAGGCCCTTTGGCTGGTCTGGTAATCAAATTAACATAAGACAGATTAGCAGGAGAAAAAATTTAATTTTGTACAGGAGGTCAGGCAAGTGGGGCTCATGTGCTATTATGAACTAAGAACAAGGGGTTAGGCTCTCGGACTTCAAAGGCGAGAAAGACAATACACATGGAGATGGAAAAACAAATAGTTGCTGGGTCAGAAAGAGAGAATGGGACACAGAGAGGACTCTGTCTCCCAGCCCCACGGAGTCTCCTCTCCCAATCTAGCCCGTATTCGCAGATCCTTCTGCTGATAATGCTCTTCCTGGCCAGGCCCTTTCTCTAAGTTCTTTTAGGCGGCTAAGGCTAAAAGGGACGAGAAAGCTCTTCCTGAGACTTTGAACCTCGGTTGTCTTCAGCTCAAGTAATCCACATGCCAGGGTGGTCCATTGTGGGGATACTCATTCTGAACCCCTACAGATGAGGCACAGGAGGAAGGTGTGTTGCTCACAGGGGCACTTGCAGCAGTGCAGGCTGAGTTCTCGCGCCTGCGTGCGCGCGCACACACACGTGTCCAGAGCCAGGGCGCTGTGAGTGAATGTGGACTGCAGACTCCTGCGTGGGCTGCCTGCGGCTAGAGCTCCTTAAGCCTATTTCCTGTCTTCCCCAGCTCCATTCAGCACCACCTTTCCTCCAGACCCATGGGGTGGGGTGGATCTCCTCTGGCTTTTAGCTGAAACATGTAGCCCCCTGGCTCGCTAGAGTCCCACCATGATGGAGAGATGTCTCCCTTGTCTCCCCTCCTAGAGGGAGGCCTGTGCTTGATCTCTGTCTCCTTCTCTCCACAAACCATCAAAACCAAAGGTTATTTTGGCAGTTTGGCCAGTGCCTTCAGGGAACAAGAGGCCCTGGTGCCCGGCCGGCTTCCTGGAGTCTGTTTTCACTTAGATTTTTATTTCTTCATTCCTTACTGCCTTGTCAGCGCTTAAATACTTGAAAAAGATTTTTTTTTTATTATTCTATGCAGCCCTTTTTTGTTGTTTTAAGCTGGAGCAGGCACCGATTACCATATCACCAGAAATGGAAATCCCCCCCAAAGGGGGTCAGAACGGGTCTCCCCAACATGTGCCACTGGGGCATGCGAAATATTTTGAATCGAGACCCTGTGGGTTCACAAGAAACGTTTGCCTCTCCCTTAAAGAATTTAAATTAGGGGCTTTGTCCATAATAAGAGTTTTATCTCCAGAAATGACTTGTATGACCTACCTGTATAGCAGGGTAAACATCTAATTACTGAACACCTGCTCTGCTCATCATCCTGCCAATAGCCCTCCCTTCTGAAGCCCCAGGCTCCTGGCCTCATCCTTAGCTCAGAATGTCATCCACACCTCGTTTTAACTTTCCGTCTCTGAACCTTTCGTGTCTGTGGGGCCTCTGACTTTCTCATGTATATGACTTTTCCGTGCATGGCCAGTTTTGTTGTTGGTGCTCATCTGTCCCATGTCAGCTGGAAGAACCTAGAAGGTAAAGTTTCTTCCTCCCCACACTTCATATCCCTTCCCCATTCCCTCCCTCATCCCTGAGCCTGAGAGACCCCTTCCCATTTCACAGAAAGAGAACCCAAGGCCCAGAAGAGTGTGGGAGCCGGGGAGTGGTCATCTCCCAGGCCTCGGAAGAAGCCCTAGTGCTCCTGGTGGTAGCCAGAGAAACACTCGTATCCTGAGCTCACCTTAGGCCCCCAGCACCTAAACCTTGCCTGTGCTATCGTCTCCTTGAAGACTCAGCCCCTATGGGTGAGGGGAGTGAGCAATGGGAAGGAAAGGGTGGGCTGTGACTGGTCCTGTTTCTGTGTGTGTTTTTAGTCCTCACCTAAGGATATGTTTTTATTAACTTTAGAGAGAGAGAAGCTTCGATGTGAGAAACATCAATAGGTTGCCTCCAGTACATGCCCCGACTGGGAATTGAACCCACAACCTGGGTATGTATCCTGACAGGGGATCAAACCCTCAGCCCTTCGATACACAGAACAACCCTCCAACCAACTGAGCCACACCAGACAGGGCAGCCCTGTTTTATAGGCAAGAAATTATAGGGATTAGGGCATCGACGTGGAAGCCAGAGTGCACCAGCAATTAACTCAGTTCTGGGTCAAGCACTTATTCTCATCTATGATATCCTAGCTTTGCCACCAGCCGCCTCCCAGAAGCAGGTCACCCCCTTACCCTACCCTCGGCCTCGTTTTCCTCGTCTGTCAATGATGGAGGATAATAATGGTAACCATTTCATGGGATTGCCGTGGGGCTTAAATGAGTCAATATACACAAAGTTCATAGATAAGTAGCCTAGCACATGGTAAGGGCTAAATGTGAGCTGAGAGGTAGTTAACTTGCCCAAGGTCACATAGCTACTCAGTAGTAGGACTAAGAGCCATTTGTTATTCATTTAAATCTTTAGAAACACCTGTCCAAGGCATTGAGGCTATAGCTGTAAACAAAGCAGAAAAAGTCCCCGCTCTGTGATGACAATTGAGTGGAGAAAACAGACAATAACAAAAACATGAATGCTAGACTGTAAACAGATTGAATGTCAGGGAGAACAATAAGAAGGGCTGAGGGAAAGAAAATGACGGGGGGTAGGGCAGGGAACTTTATATGTGTGGTCAGAGCACAGCTGGGTCCCCTGGCTCCTGAGCTACATCCTTATCCCTCAGCCTTTCATGTTTCTCAGCCTGGATGTCCCACCTGTTTGCCCACGGGGAGAGGCGGAGACTTCCAGAGCAGGCAGGAGCAGGTGGAGGATGAAGATGGGGTTCTTAGCAGAGGCATGTTGGGGTTGGAGGACCATCGTGGAAAGAACCCTTGGTCAGACACTTACTCCAAGCTCCACCATCCTCTCGTCACCTGA